TTTGATTGTCTGGATCCATCATATGTCCTAGTACAAGGGCAGTGACAACAAAACATTTTAGCATAAAGAACGACAGTCATTGTAACAACAACTAGTTCAATTGTATTGTCAATAATTTTATTACATTTGGCTTCTCCAGTAGCCAGGCTTTGAGACTGGAGAATGATACAGTCTATATTGTAATCGAAACTGATTGCTGTTATTCAGTACATCCAGTTATCAAACTAACGAGTACAACGGCCATATAAGATTTGTTCAATGATTCACTGCTATATAATAATATCTTAAATACAAGGGAGGCATGTATGGTATTTATAGCAGGACATCTGCATAGTTTTTGTACAATATCCAATGATCATGTGCAACAGGAGTTCCCTGGCTCTACAGCTGTAATAGATGACCTAGTACAGGTGTCTCCCACTGCAAGGTCAGAGGTCAAGTCTAAAAGTCTTGACCAAAGCAAGTCTCTGTGTCATTCCTCAGTTTGTCACTTCTTAGAGTTAGGTCCTAGGTCAGACAAAAAAGGACTATTCTGTTATGAATGTTAGACAGGACAGGTTTCAGGATGCTTAATATTCAGATGGACAAAATCACATCCCCCAACTTCATCTCATCAATTGAACGTACTAACCCTGTACTTGAGGACAATCTGTCGTCCCTAGCTTCGGCCTCCGACAAGATCCACAAGACCACCCCACTAATACCAAATCTCCATGCCATTTATCCCACCTACTGACCCTGTACTTGAGGACAATCTGTCGTCCCTAGCTTCGGCCTCCGACAAGATCCACAAGACCACCCCACTAATACCAAATCTCCATGCCATTTATCCCACCTACTGACCCTGTACTTGAGGACAATCTGTCGTCCCTAGCTTCGGCCTCCGACAAGATCCACAAGACCACCCTACTAATACCAAATCTTCATGCCATTCATCCCACAAAATACGTCGACCCTGTACTTGAGGACAATCTGTCGTCCCTAGCTTCGGCCTCCGACAAGATCCACAAGACCACCCTACTAATACCAAATCTTCATGCCATTCATCCCACCTACTGACCCTGTACTTGAGGACAATCTGTCGTCCCTAGCTTCGGCCTCCGACAAGATCCACAAGACCACCCTACTAATACCAAAGCCCCATCATCTCATCATCCAAAAAAAAAAAACCTTAGGTCCGCCATGTTTCCTTCCCGTCATGCTAAGAAAATTACATTGAACTTCAATTGCAAGTGCTAAACACAATCAGCGTATATTACGCCAAAGCCATCGCCTCTATACACTCCTGCCAAAATGAACACACAACCAGGTAGGCTTTCAGTTACTGCTCTTTCCAAACATACCGCTAGGCGTCGTCCTTACACTGTGGCCCGGTGACAGGTCCCACAATGCACTTCACTCAACTTTGGCCTGCCCCATTGCATGACGGGAAACAAAATGGCGGCGCCCATAAAATCGAGGTAACGTAAAACAGGTTCACGCTATCGCGAACCTGTAAAAATGTTAGCCACCCTACATCTTATTACACAACATGCACCAAGTTTGAAATGGTCACAGCTAGTGCCTCTTGATACTATACGATTTCTCTCGTTCTTTCCATGATATTTGCAGACGACATGGACGTCTCGGTGTTGTACAAGTCTGCGGCGCTGGACCTGGGGATCCAGTGGGTTTGCTGGGCGGTTGCAGTGCCTAAATAAATTAGTACCGAGAAGTTTTTCGATCTGGCCGGGTCGGTAACATAGGCACTGCTGGGCAGCCTGACTGCTGGCCTATTAACTTCACAAGGCAAAAGGTACTGATCATGAGTATAAGATTTGTTATGTGTGGAAGTATTGTGCAAGTATTGTTGACAATCTGAAGATCTGTTAGCCTGATTACATGTAACTTCACTAAATGCTGAGGTTTGGAACTAGGAACTTATCCTCCAAGCAGATGTTGGGAGCACTTATGATCTCTGTACAGTCAATGTGATATACAGTCATGTATTTGTAGCCTGGGGAAAGCTTGAAAATTGCTGTATGTAACTTAGCCAAATATATATATTCATACCATATAACATTTGGCTGTATATATTTGGCTGTATATATTGGCTAACCATCTCATCAATAATGTGAGAAGGGAAGGATCACATAATGCTGTATTGTAGTGGCTAGCATTATGTATATTATCAATTGATCCTTACGTTTGTCTATAACATTCTCCAGGTGCAGACCTCCCTAGTGCTAATCTGGGTGGTCTGTCTATCTGGGTTCCTCTCTGTTTCTGCCAGCGCTGAGAGTTAGGAAGGGAGTACATGTAACGTTACATATACATGTACTAGAGTATGTACTAAATTTATACAATGTGGTACCACAACATTATGATATCCCTGTAACAGAAACTGTATGCAATAAAAGTTTTTTTTAATGACTGACCCTGCAGGACTACCTAGGCTGGTCCATCTGGGCTGTAGGACTCCTGCTGGAAGCTGTGGCTGATTATCAGAAGTCTGTCTTCAATGCAGATCCTGAAAACTCAGGTGGGACATCTCAAATATCAATGGTTAATCTTGGCATTAAAAAATGTATGATTGGTTTCTAGTACTGATAATGATTGTGTTTCAGTCTGTATGTTAAAGAATTGGATTCGAACTCTGGGTTCTCCCAAAGCAATGGAATAATGGTGCTGCACAACTTGCACTACTTCAGGAACACAATGTCACATTTTCAATTTTCAAATTCAGTAATTTTGATTATGTATATATGATACTAAAATTGAATTATCCTGTTTGGCTGAGATTGTTACTTTAGATTTCTAGGAAGAGCCCTGATTTATAAATATAAGTTTACACTGTTGTGTATGTATATAAGTTAACAGTAAATGTATATATATAAGTGTACAGTTTAACAATTTATTCTTTGTTACGTGCACCATGTGTTTCTAATCACTGTTTAGTCCTCCCTCCCAGTGTAAAAAAAAGTCCAAATAGAAGCCAGTCCAGTGTTATGAATGATAAACTGTTGACAGATGGAGAGTTGAAATAATTTGATCTTTCTCACTCTATAGGAAAGTTTATCCAGTCCGGGCTGTGGAGTATCAGCCAGCACCCAAACTACCTGGGAGAGATCAGTCTGTGGCTGGGTCTGTACATCACAGCCGCCGGGGTTATGTCAGGCTGGGAACACATCAGTGTTGTCTCTCCCGTGTTTGTTGCCTTCCTGTTGTTAAAAGTCAGTGGGGTATCTGGCCTGTAGACAGAGGATCGGACGGCAGTTCTGATGCCTTTTGTGTGGTAATATAATATAATGATTCAGTGGTATTTTTTTTTATGTGCTTGATACAAATGTGATCAGCAAATGAAGCAAACCTTTGATGCATTTATAACAGTGGAGTAGCTTTTGTAGTACTAAATTATATATGTGCTGTAGACCGGTCAAAAATAACTCAAAGGCCTTATTGATGGTAATATACACTGTATTTAAGCTTGAATACAGCATATACCATTACAAAACTTTTTATAGTCTTTTTTGGTGTATTTTTTTCTCCCCCATGTTTGTTGGCTTCCTGTTGTTAAAAGTCAGTGGTGTTCCCCTGTTAGATGAACTGGGCATTAAGAGATGGGGGAATAACTCGGGGTACAAAAATGTATCTGGCATACAGGCAGAGGACAGCAGTCCTGGTGCCTTTCGTGTGGTAATGTATTAACAGTGGTGTCCCCCTGTTAAAGGAACTGGGCATGAAGAGATGGGGGAATAATCATGGGTAAGGGTTGGTCGGTAAAGAAGTTCAACATTTTTTACCATTGACCTTACTGAAAGGTCATTAAACAAAAAGTTGAAGGCAATTTCTGATGTAATTTCTTCATGGTTTATTGGAAAAAGCTTACTAACAGGAAAAATTCGTTGACAAAGCGAATTGTCTCTAGAGTTACTTTGTAACTGACAAATAATATACAATTTCAATTTGAATTTGAAAGTTAAACTTTTCAAAATCCCTGAAAGTCTATTGCACATTTGAGTTGATCATAATCTCATACATCGTATATCTTATAATCCATTCATGATCAACATGTCAAAATACTGCTGTAACAGTTATAGGATTTTTTTACATGCTTACAATGACAGTTGTAGGCATTCAAGCTATACATGTGTATTACATTGTTTCAGTATTGCACAGAGTAAAATATATAATGATATAAAAGCATTAAAAAAAATACATTTAGAATGTTCTGAACAGTCATGCATATTTAACAACTATCAGAAGGACAAAAGGCAACACACAAAACCATGCAACAAATTGTGATAACAAAATTAATCCTATCAAAAGTAAGCTTGTCGGCTATTAGTTTGTAACATTTATCTGTTTGTGAGCACTTTGCATTAAGGACATCAGATGTTGGAAATCCTGAAGATTGAAGAGCAAGTCATGCCATAATTTAAAGTAGCAGAAAAATCGTAGTATTCATCTGTTCCTAAACAAAACCTACCCAATGACGTGAATAGTAAAAGCTGATGTGAAGGTGTACCTCAACAATTTCTAATTCAAGTCCTGACATTTACTATAATCTACATAGTTACATGTTTAACTTATTAACTCATATTTCACACAATCATATAGCATTCTGATATATGATGTATGCTATTTTGTATGCATTTGGATGGTTATATACCTGTGAGGACAAGAAACTGTTAAATTGCATTTACAATGTGTATGATTAAAAATTGAAAAAGTTTGATTTTGATCAAATTGTTTTCCATACATTATACATGGAGCCAGTGGTATTGCCATCACAATACCTGTATCTAGATACCCAGTACTTCACACAGAATATAACTGTTACAGTTAATTCCTCTGATCAATCATTGCAGAAACATCTTACCATTATGATAATAGCTCCAATGACCCAAACAAACACAATTTACATCAGTCATCATTACCATGATGTATATAAAAGAAATGTTATGTGCTAGTATCTGAAAAAAATCTGAATATATCAGACAAGTAGAACTGCAGTTTCTTTATTCTGTAGATTCTTTTACTGTGCTCATCAGGGCAATGTTCCTTTCAATTTGCTTCATGATGGGGTGAGTTTTATCAGGAAGGTAAATCTGGTTTGCCATAGTCAAAGCTTCTTGGCAGAGACTTATTGCTTTTTTGTAATCACCAAGGTGGAGCCAAGCTGTTGACAGATTATTCAGTGACACAGCAATGTCAGGGTGTGCTGTCATTTGACCATATATACTCCTGCACATCTGCAGTGCCTGTTCAAAGTAGCTGATTGCCTTTCTGTAATCAGCCAGATGACACCAGGCTTGTCCTAGATTACTGAGTGATGTAGCAATGACAGAATGTGGTGTACGTAGACCATAGATACTCATGCACATCTGCAGTGCCTGTTCAAAGTAGCTTATTGCATTTCTGTAATGACCGAGATGATACCAGGCTTGTCCTAGATTTATGAGTGATATGGCAATGTTAGGATGTGGTGTAGTTGGACCATAGATACTCCTGTTCATCTGCAGTGCCTGTTCAATATAGCTGATTGCCTTTCTTTGTTCACCCAACTTGTGCCAGGCTGACCCTATGTTGTTGAGTAAGGATGTAATGTTGGGATGTTCTGTACTCTCACCATAGATACTTCTATACATCTGCAGTGCCTTCTCATAGTATCTGATAGCTTTTCTGTAATCACTGAGAATGTGCCAGGCTGACCCCAGATTGTTGAGTAAATTTGCAATATCAGAATGTACTGTACCAAAGATACCTCTATACATCTCCAATGCCTGCTCATAGAAGAATATAGCTTTTCTATAATCACTCAGATTGCCCCAGGCTAGTCCTAGTTTGCTAAGTGAAGTGGCAATGTCAGGATGGAGGGTATTAAGGCCATAGACACTCTTGCACATTTGCAATGCCTCTTCATGATACCTGATTGCCTCTCTGTGATTACCCAGATGACCCCAGACTTGTCCCAGATTGTTGAGTTTCATGACAATGTCAGGATGTGGTGAACTTTGACCATATATACTCTTGTACATCTGCAGTGCCTGTTCATAGTAGCTGATTGCCCGTCTGTAATCACCAAGTTGACCCCAGGCTAGTCCTACATTGCTGAGTGAAGTAGCAATGTCAGGATGTGCTTTAGTCTGACCATAGATACTCCTGTACATCTGCAGTGCCTGTTCATGAAGGCTGATTGCCTTTCTGTAATCACCAAGATCACCCAGTGCTAGCCCCAGATTGTTAAGTGACATGGCAATGTTGGCATTTGCTGTACTGTGACCATAGAAACTCCATTGCATCTGCAGTGCCTGTTCATAGTTGCTGATTGCTTTTCTTTGATTACCTAGGTCACCCCAGGTTTTACCTATCTTGTTTAGTAACATGATAATGTCGGAATGTGCTGTACTTTTGCCATAGATGATCCTGCATACCTGAAGTGCCTCTATGTAGTAGCTGATTGCCTTTTCGTAATCACCCACACTGAGACAAGCATCCCCAAGATATCTCAACAAGGTCATTTTATCATTATTGCTATCCTTAACTTCCTTAAGGGCCTCAGCATAACACCTGATAGCTAGTCTGTATTTACATAGCTCAGAGTATAGGATTCCTTTTACTCTTGGAGCACTGTCATATAGATCAGCAACTGGCCTCTCTTCTGCCCTCTCTTCTGCCCATTCGTTCAAAACCCTTTTTAGGGGAACTGCTGTGTAATAGTACCTAAAAAGCTGCTTATCATTTGGTAGGTTGAAAACTGGCTTCAATGCATTTGATGATACTTCATCATGTACAGGAATCATTTGAAGGGATGATTCCTGTGCATTTAGCATTGTTTTCATTGAGGCCAAAGCTGCCAGATTTTCCTTCTGTCCACCATTTGCAATGTATGTTCTGAGCCTGAGTTCTGCTGAGATGCTGGTAAGCACTGTCAGGTGATGTGCATTGTTGGGACTGATCACTTGTTGGATTTCCATTTCTTCTATTGTCTCCCAAATTGTGGTAGGTACAATGCCTGAAGAAAGTGCCAGGCAGTCTACTGCTACAGCTGGGAAGCGGTAGATTTCTTTCTTGACATCAATCAGTCTAGCTACCATTTCTTGATCATTGTAGCTTCTACCATATTCCCTCATTGTCACCTGTGCCAGTTGTTGAGCCATTTTACCTCCATCAGCTTGCAGTATCTTCCCTGTGATGCCCATGTACATGTCAATCAAATCCTGGTCCCCTGCTATCAGGCATGGGTTTCTAAAGATAGTGGCAAGGTGATATCTTTCCTGAAGGTAAAATGCAGCATCCCCCTGTAGTTTTGAAGCCATGTTTTCTGGGGTGCAGATAAGTTCCCTGGGTGGTTCTTTCCAACTTCCCTGCCTGCCCAGTGGAGTTTTGCTTGCCCATGGTACGGAGCCATCAAATGCCAACCCACGAGGTGTAACAGAGTCATAGTACCAGTTATCATGTGGGTTATCGGAGTAAAAGTCATTGAGAGATTTTATTCCTAGTGCTGGGAGAATGGTTTCTCCCAGGTTGACCACCTTGAGGTGTAGATAGTGGGTGAGGTTGCGGAAATACACAAGACATTCCTCACTTTCCTCCTCTACCAAGATGACAAACTGCAGGTCTGAGTATGGAGTGACCATTCCTGTGGATTGTGAACCCAAACCTATCAGGGCATACTTACAGGGAGGAGGACCCATTAACCCAAGACACTCTTCTACAAGCAGGCTAATGAACTCCTTCCTTATTTGTGCAATTTTCTCAAACAACTGCCTGACAGCCTGAGCTCGTTTTGCCTCTATCTCTCTGACACATGGGTCATCCTCATCATGTACATAGGGATCCAGCTGCTGGTCAATGGTTTCCATCTCCAGCTTGACCTGGTCCCGCATCTCCTTCAGCTGTTTCTTATGTCTTTCTTTGTTATCTTGACTCAGATGACTATGAGTATTTAAGACACAATGGAGAAATGACTTCTCTACTTCTGTGATAGCTCTTTCTATGTTGCCATTTAGGACTTGATCCTCTGACCTGGCTACTGCTGCATTGTAGAGTGCTGCTGCTTTGACAAAGTTTCCCCCATCTCCTGTCTGCTGACCTCGCTTACTGTAGACATCCCCCAACTTGCACAGGGGCTCCACCTCTCTCTTGTACTGCTGGGCTCTGGGATCTGGTAAGGAAGATCGACATTTGCCCATGTAAGCATTGATTCTCACTGTCATTTTACCTTAATCCTAGTAGTACATGTACTTGTAATTTTGTTGAACCTCACATGTTCCCTTCTTCTCTCTGTATATACATTTGTAACATTTACTAATATATTATAAATATTTTGGTATGAAAATAGTAATAAGTATGGCGTGATTACTCTTGATCAAATGCATTCAATACATATTAGGCCACACCAATTTAATTTCTTGGTTAACGGATTTTTGTAGAAAAATAATGGAGCGGGCGGGCAAAAAAAAAAAAAAAACAGGCCTAGGCATCCTATTCTGGGCCAAAATGGTACGATAGAAGCCATGAAGTCAACACACCAATCAATCAATCAATCATCCGCGTGCTTCAGGGAAGAAGCATGGCGGCCGCAGACAGCTGTCTCCAGAGGCTTACAGGCTGGTTCAAAATTTAAACAATGAATTTTGAACTTTTAATGATACTACTGCATTGAAAGATGGTATGACTGTAACAAGTAGTAAGAATAGGACTGTTTTTAACTGTTCAGGGCAAAATATGAGCATTTTTCAGTTGATTCTGAACTTTTATTTTTATTTGCAAATCAGAAAAAAATGAAGCGGCAAATCCGTTAACCAAGAAATTAAATTGGTGTGGCCTTAGTTGAGAAAGCCTGAAGCCACTGAACTGTTACAATGTAATCTTATGGAACAAATATACTTTTACTCGACAAATCTTCACTTAGTCTACTACATGTAGCTATACAGGATCATGTACTCAACAGACTTGTGATTCAGCCATAATATTAATCTACTAAATTCTAGTCTGCAAAATTACAACTTACAGTTACTTGTTTGTATTTTAGCATACATGTAGTCTTTGAATTTGCAAAAGATATGCAAACTGCTGACCAATAATTGCAGGACTGGTTAATTTGAACCCTATCTTGCTAAGATTTTCAAGTTGAAGAAAATAATTGTGGGCAAGAATTTTTGCTCTCACCATTTTCCCCTAATGAGAGTATGCATACCTCTGATGTGTACCAACTTGAGTGCAGATGCAAAGTGCTGCTCTGCTGAGTCCAGGTCAGATTTCTGTAGTGCCAAATAACCCTGCCAAAAGTGTTCCTTGTACTGGCTGGAAAATACAGGCCTGGGTAATGCCATATCATTGTACCACAGGAAAGATACTTGTAAATGAAACATGACATCATAACTTGACAATATCATGATGACCTCATCATAACAGTTGACAGTAAAAGTACCAACTTGAAATACCAGAATTCCTCCAAATATTGATGGTCTTTAATTATGATATTACCTTCACCAGAAGGTTAATATGTGTTTTATGTTTTCCATAGCGTTTGATAATACAGATACACACACACATACACAATGTACAAACACTACAATGAAATACATAAAATTTTTATTACCTGTCCGTGCCGTATTGAGGATCAGGGTGTTCAGTGGCCTCTGGTCTGTTGACATCTTTCCTTTTCCTCCTTTTCCTCCTTTTCCTCCTAATCCTAGTAGATTGTCTGCTCTCATGTTCAGTCCTAGAGCTGTGTACCGGTACGCAGTACCGATACTGTACCGGAAAAATTGATTAGGTACAGGTCCAAAATACCTAATCCCTCAGTACCGGTACTGTACCTAAACAATTTCACACCAATTTTATGCCTATTTGTGACCTCAAATGGGTCCCTGTGTAAGGACAGTGTGTTCATGAAAATAAAAACATCTTTAGTTTTGCCTATATTTTATCTGAGCATTCGCCATAAACAAAGAATAAACCTTAACTAACAAGTTTATTAATGTTTTTTTGTTATTGAAGGAGTTCAGAAGAGCATATAAATTGGTCGAATTGTTCAGGTACAGGTTCAGGTCCGGACCTGTACCTAAACCTGTGTACCTGTACCTGTACCTGTACCTAAAATTTGTTTAGGTACACAGCTCTATTCAGTCCTCTTAGATAAATGCTAAAAAAATTATGGATTACTGTTCTATTTTTTTCCATGTCAACATAATTCATTAAGAGTTACACTGCAGAAATTAATGCTCTTTGCAATCATTTTTACTAAATTTGCAAGGCATTTTTTACCATAAGGCCATGTTGATTTGATTACATGGATGATATCCTCTGTGAACCCCAAAACTGATCCACACGTGCGAATAAAATAAGTTTTACAAAAAATAGTTGCTTTCATTACGAAATCTATGTGGTTATGAAGGTTGAACAAATGACACAGAATATGGTCTGGCGAATAATCTCCTCTTCAAATTCATTTCTTTACATTCTCATCTTTTTTCGTTTGATTTTGGCATTGTATAATGGTTTTTAAATATTTTTTTGCAACTTCGTTACTGTATGTTTTTGCTCATTTTGCAACTGTTTTGTACGATTTACAGCATGATTGTACACTTTTTTTTGGAAACGGCCAAAAATTCATGCGTGCGTGGATGTCATCCATAATAATCAAATCAACATGGCCTAATGAATTCATTTTGTATACTCCCAGTAAGTGCACAATGTTCTTTATTAATGATTTTGAAATTGACAACATTTTGCAGGCAATTCAAAATCATGCAGTGTCACTGAGTGCTGTATTGTCTCTCAGTGTCACTGACAGCACTCCATTTTTGTCCATGATTAAGTTTCTTTCCATGCACACTATCACAAAGGCACATGTGTACATCATGCAGAAAGAAGAACATGCTTGTTGTGCTAAGTATTCTAATACTTTAAAAAGTATAAGAGTGATGTGGAAGGCTCACCTTTCTCATTTCTTCCTTCATCTTTTCTGTGTACTTGATCCGATGAAGTAGTGTCACAATCCCATCTACATTTTGTACCTTGATACATGTGTTAAGGGCCCTTTTGTAGATTGGTGTTGCTTTGTGTAACTGTGACAGGTTGGATGTTTCCATTCCATTCTTGAGGTACAAATCTCCCAGTGATTTTAGTGCTTCTTGCTGCAGTAGCATATCATCATCTGCTATGGCATTCACAAACATTTCTGTGTACAGTTTCTCAATCGAATAAATGTCTTTGTAATGACTGTGCCTTTCAAGGTCTATGCAAATTTTTGCTACTCGTATGATGCTGTTATCAGTACTTGGACCTGGGTACAATGACAGATACTTTGGCTTGTATCCCCTGAGCAGTTTTATCGAAAGTTTCTCCATGTAGCCGATACGATGTTCTAGTGTTTGTTTTGTATCTGGATCTTTGCAGCACAGTAGGGAAGCAGAATACAAGGCAGCAGCCTTGTCAAACTCTGCTGAATCTTTGAGGAGCTTGGCTTTTTGAAGATGCAGGTCTCCAAGGCTTTTCAGAACTTCCAACTCTATAAATGAGTCCCCATGCACTATAGCATTTATCAGTGCCTTCCCATACCCTATCATTGGTTGAGATGCCCTAAGATTCAACTCCAGCTCCTGTAGTTTCTTTGCAAGGCTTGGCATGGTGATGTGGCTGCTTTTGCTTGGCACTGTTTCAGTCCTGTTTGACAGAGGAAATGAATTACATTTGATGCTATGCCAAATATAAGTCTTGGGCCAGCAACTGAGGATTGTACCTTGAATACATTCGCCCAACCTACACAGTGTTAAGCCTCGGTCACAACCCGCCTTACGTGCTTTTTGTCCGTACGTTTTTTTGGAGGCTACATGTACATCTGCTACGTTTTTTCTGAAAACATGGGGAAGGAGTGGCATCGACGCACATCACTCGCATGGTTTCGCAAGGTGTAAGAGTGTGGTCTGCATGCCAAGTCTGGCCATGAGTGGTTGCATGCATCGTACGTTGCGCAAGTGGTAAGTGAGTTGTACGTGCTTACAACGTATGATCTCTGTGTGATTGCAACTTTACCGTAAGGAGGCCGTACTCACACGTGCGTCTTTCATACGGTACGTACGGGGCACGCGCGTCGCCCGTACTCGCACGCACGGGTGGTGAATCCGTAGACCGTACGCAGGAAAAGTTTTACATGGGCTTAAAGTTCTACAGCGTGTCTGCGTGCTCCTAAATCCGTAGGATTCCGTACGGAGGCAGTACTCACCACGCACGGATGCCCTGCATTTGCCCACGTTTTTGCACGTAGACAGCACGCAGAAGCACGTACGGCAGGTTGTGACCGAAGCTTAAACTTTTATGTAGTGATGCATTTAATATGTTATTTCAAAAGACAAAATTTAATGTTAATTAGTGATTATATAGCAACTTTTTTATTACATATCTGACCCCATCAATCAGTGTTGACCATGGTCCTACAGTAAGTATTCCATCTCAACATTCTTTTCTGCTAAATTTGTAACACACCACTCGTGACAGTGACTGAAAAAAGTGCAGGCACAGAAACCGTAAATGAAAGAGTACCACTCGTACTGACACCTTAACAAAGGTTTAAATTAAGTTACAGCTGTGAAAATTAAAGCTATTTTAGACTTACACTACCTAAAATTTCTATGGTGCAGTAAACCTGTGAAGAAACTTCAGGCTGATGAAACCTGTGAAGTGTTGATTGATATGTAATCTGTAGTTCATCTAAACTGATGACAGTAATTCAAAATCAACTTGTGCATAGCATTTATTGCAAATTTATAATGAGGCTATTGGCTCAACTTCAGACTGAGTAGATAAGCAAACATTACAGTAACTTTTCCCCACCTTGGTATCATTGGATGCTGCTGGTCATGAGTTACGTCAGTCAATCTTTCCCTGTCCTCCTTGTCATGCACAGCAGGTGATTCATCATCTTCTTGTGTATCTGCCACATCCTAAAATGATTTGCAGGCACTGTGATATTCTCAAGTTCTTTTTGATTTAAGTGTAAATTTTTGCTAATTTAACACTTTTATGTTTTGACCAGTCAGTGAGAGCTTTTGTTTACTACATGTATTATAATTAATAATATATAATAATGAAATTATGGTAACCATAAGTTCATGTAGTTTTACAGTAAGCTAAAGTTATGTTGGGTCTGATATATGATACAACAGTGGCACTCACCATATAGATTTCAGGACTGGGCGAGGACAATGTCAGATCTTTGAGCTTTGTTGCAGTTTGTGACACCTCTGAAGTTATACAGAAAGTAGTAAGCTTTCAACTACAATGTATCTTGCTGAAACCATTACATGTCCTGAAGAACCTTGTTTGCATCAGAAAAAATTGTGTGTAGTGGATCTGAAGAAAAATGTCTAATGATATTCACAATGCTATCACTGTAAAGTATTCCATCACTCATGCAAATTAGGTCATCAAAAAATTATTAGGAAGCCCATCTTAAAGCCTGTAGGGGCCCATAACATAGTCATTGCTTCATTTTGCCAACACCTACTAATTGCAGCATACCAAATATCACTCACTGACACACATACACACACACATCTGTCTCTGTATCACTATCAGTATACAATGATGTACATGTAGCTGGTACAACCACACACTCACATACATGTACACACACACACACAAACACACACACACATGCACAATCATACACATACACAGTGTCACATACATTCACAACCCCCAAAATACTTTCTTAGCAACTTTAAGGTAATACATGTGAATATGAGGCTGTTTCTTATTCTTTTATTTATACTACAATCTTTCCAGACACTAACCGTCTTCCGTTGTCAGACTACACATGTTTGTGTATGTTGTTGCAAGGTCTAACTTCTCAAGCACAGGATTCTGCTTCAATCGCAAAGGTTTGTTGTAGACAGGATACTCTTGGCTTTGTCTCTGCTCTTGTCCTGATTGAATAGAGGGTAAAGAGAATGGTTAATTAATGTCTACAATGATCTATTATAATGTACTAGGAGTGACAATTCTTGGTAGAATGTCACAAGAAATACTTGAAATACATTGTGTACATTATTTTTGGTAAAAGATGAAATTATAGAGTTACAGTACTTTTTTTTTTTACAAATTTAGTACCTGTGGAATGATCAGACCCCATCCTCACTACCCTGAATCCTTTGTCAGTAGGATGTGTCAGCAGAAGATGTCTGCAGCTGGCAATGAAGTCTTCAGGATTGATGGTTATGACAAGGTCATCAGGGGTTACACCATGTGCATGGAGATCTTCTGACATGAAGAGCCTTTTCATTACCTGGTGCACTTCCCCCTGATGGTAAATCTCCCACAGCTCAATCACACTATCCAGGTCATTACAGGAAAAGACTAAAATTACGCTCCCATCTTCCTTTGTCTTTAATAGGATCATTGGGTTGTTGAAAGGCGCTTTGGGTATGTCTGGGTATGTCTTCAAGAGATCCTCTCCTTTCTTGAAGTGTCTTCTGCTTGATTGTTTCAGGTCAACCATTATTCGGATCTCTGAACCGTCTGTTGAACAAAACAACATTTTCAGGATATAGTGAATCCGTATTGCCCAAATGATGACTGGTAAATTGGATTGAATAGGGTTGATGTCACTTGTTAGCAAGTAGTCAAGCAAACAAGTATAAGCAATCATAATATATTTTATGTAACAGTCACAGTGTTACAACTTACTAGTATAATTTCATGATAAATATACTTACCCATTTCTGTGGCCTCACTCCTACTGCCTTTTTCTTTGTTTTTGGCAAAGACTCGGAAGCGATACATCTCGCCAACTTTAAGTTGATCCTGAATAATACATTCGCAATCTGCTGTTTCTTCTACACAAGTTTCCCATTCCCCTGAGATGCCATCAAGCAAGCAACATTTCTCAATGATGTAGGAGATGTCAACACCCTTTGGTACTGTCTTAGGCTCCAACCATTTTAGAGTCACACAGTTGGACCCATTGTAACAGTTACAACTTTGAACAAGAAGGTTTCGTGGTGGAAATGGCTTGTCTGTCAATGGAAAAATAAACAGTCAGATATACATATTCTAACTCAGGCCAGGGCAACATTCCACGTACAATCCTCGAGCAATGATATATATATTATATACTTAATGTTTAATACATGAACTTCTGTATTATAAATAAAAGTATTCAAAGTTGATATGATCATTCTTCATAATTATTGCTAAGATCAAGGACATTACATAGAATATGTAATTAATGTAGTTGAAGATAAACAAAACTTCATGCCATTATGAATTATGATAAATGTATTTCAGAAGAGTGAAGAAAGGAAGACACACAGTTCAAAAAAGACAAACACACCTGGTAGTTTAGCCACCACTCTTCGGAGTACTGTTGGCTCACTGTAGACAGGTTGATCATCAACATCATTCATTGCCCTAACACGAAAGTCGTATTCTTCATATGTAAAGCAGGGAACTGTGAGCTGTGGTTTGTTGTTTTTGCTTATGACTGAAAGTCCATCATGTGCACACTTCCAATGATCATATTTCCCTGCAGAAGATAACCTTTTCTCTACCAAGTATCCCACAAGAGGCTCCTCAGCTGGTGTCCATTGTAGTGTTATACTGTAATCTGTCACTTTTACAGCTTCAAGTTTCTGTGGGGCCATGGGTCTTCTTGCAGGAACATTCTGTTCAACAGCTGTTCTCTTTTTGTATCGAGGATCCGGACCTAACATATCTATAAGTGTAGTCTGATCTGTCTGCCTCAGAGCATCTATAAAGATGTCGGGTGTGCATTTCCCATTCCTTAAAAGAGTATCCAAAAGTTCACCTGCTTTATCTATCTCTTCAACCTTGTGTAGAATTCTCTCCTTGTCAGAAATTGTCAAGGCACGCTTTTGAATCAGATAAGGTAGTACACTTTTCACATCCAGAATATTTGAGATGTCAACATAGTTGTCAAGGAGGAAGTTCTCCATGTCAGTAGGATCATCAGGATCATGACCTAGAAAGTGTTGATTAAAATAATGATAAGTTTATTGCAAGTTCATGCCCTGGGGCTAATTGAATGCAGGTAACAATTACATGGCAACAATTAAACAACGTACAAAATAATTTAAAAACCATCTAATCCACATTGTACATTCTATGACAGAGGTAAATTATCTAAAACTAGAATTCCACGACCTCATACCTTTGCCAGATGATGCTAACATTTACGACTTACAAATTGTTATAATTGTTTCTCATTGATAAATTTAAGACACAGTAAGATCCTCATTTGCAAGATGAAATCACTTGGTCTCATTCCACAGCCAAGTATGGCTGTCATATTTTTTTAGAATTATTATTTTAGCATTTTCTCTATGGCTTAGAGTACGTAATAAAACTATCCAATCTGTTAGACAAAACTTTGCAGGCCACAATTTTGTGAAATTCACACTTATTTTTCAACTCAGGACTGGCCAATTGCAATATTATGGCCATCTGACCTGCTCCTACATGTTTTAGTTACTTAAAGCCAAAGTTCAAAGTCCACAAACCTCGTTTGGTACCAGTCGCCATCTTGACAAAACCTTGAATAGTCAGACCGCGCTATGTTGTTTCAAAGTGCATCCAGCATTGCTTTTGATGTCAACTTCTGACAAGATGAGCAGGGCTAGCAGAATGTCTGGCTGATCCTGAAGATAACAGAAAGGAGTAGTTAGCATAGAGATGACACAATAATAGGCCTCCCTTGGCTTGTTTGGCAGGTTTGACAATCACAAATACCTTTCAGGAATTTATGGACACTTAATCACTCGTGTGACTTCAATTAATGATAATACCTGTCTTCATGTCGATTGAAAGTAAACATCAAGTAGTCATCCATCAAACAACGTACTAAATCAACATACAATTATATTACTTATTACATGGTATGTGGCATACAATATGGTATGTGCACGTGGTTGTACACTCAGATATATATTATGCACAGTGACATAAAGGTATAACTGTTACCCGTTACATTAGTTAAATTGAAATTTTTGGTTCTGCATTTTTTTTAATATGTAATGTTTATTTGCAAAATCATGCCCGAAGGCTAATTGCTTGTACAGTCAAGTATACAGAAACAGGAGACAGGTAACAATCTGTCTGGAAAAACCTCTACTTCTACTACTACTCTAGCTATTAAGGGGTTTGACTTCTTCTTTGAAAGCAGTGGATAATGAATAGTCCCACATTCTGCATAATTAGTGGGTTTTGTGATCTTAGTAGAAATGTAATCTTTTGGTGATCTTCTAAATGACGAAATGATGGAGAGATTGTTGTAACTGTCTGAAATAATCTGTTTCTTTCGGTCTCATAGTGAGGACACTGGCTAACAAAATGTGTTTCATTTTCCACTGCATTCATTGTACAATATTTACATAATCTCTCGTGCACAGGTAGTTTTCTATAGCGGCCTTTTTCTAACTCTAGTGGATGCGCACTTATTCTAAACTTACACATGGCAGCTCGTTCGTCGAATTCATTGTGGTATAGATATTTTTCCATGGAGTATTCGGATTTGACGGTCTTGTAAAATCTTAGCTTGCCGTTATCTACAGACAATTGGTGAAAGAACGTTTGAACATACATATCAGTTAGTTTTCTCTTCAACAATGTACATATACTCTTGTTGTCTAATGTACAGTGGTTGCAGGTGTTCCATAAAAAAGAATAACCTGCATTGTTAATTATTTCTTTGACATGGTGTAGCCATCTTTTCTTACCACTATTTCCCATATTGTGTTGCTGACAGAGTAATGCATCTACCTGTAAGGGGTGTGTGAAAGTGTCCAGTTGTTTGAGTCTTAACCAGTATTTAACTACACGGACGGATATATCTATATCTGTTGGGAACAACCCAAGTTCTGCCCTACTTGCTAGGTTACTAGAATTCCTGTGCACACCAAGAATATTTTTACAGAAGCGGTTCTGAGTTATCTCTACAGGACAATTTTCATTTGAATAATCTTTACCCCAGATCTCACAGGCGTATAACATTATAGATTTGATGCACGCATCAAAGAGTTTGAGTAAGGCCTTGGGGGACAAAGAGGTGCGGATAAGGGGTTTAAGACTAAATATTGCTTTACGAGCTTTTAAAGATAACTGTTTTTTGGCTAAAGAATAACTGCCAGACGAAGACATAATTAGACCTAGGTAGGTATATGAGCTTGTGATTTGGATATTTTCTGCGCCGAAGGAAAATTTGGTGTTCTTGAATGTTCTTCCTGTTTTGTTGAAAATCATCACTTTGGTTTTCTTCAGGTTTACCTGAATGTTCCATTTCTCACAAAATGCGTTCAGCTTGTTTAGCGCACATTGTAACCCTGTTTCCGATTCCGAAAACATCACAACGTCATCTGCATAAAGCAGACAAGATACCAGTAAATTGTGTAAGGTGGGTGGGCGCAATCAATGTTATCTAAGTCATTAACTAGGTCGTTTATGAATATGTTAAAGAGGGTTGGACTGAGGTTGCATCCTTGTCTGACTCCATTGTCAGTAACAAACAATTTATAACAATACAATAACAATTAACAATTATAACAATTAACCATTAATAACAAAGAATGCTAGCAAATGAAAATCACCTTTTTTTGTCATGTTTCAGTAAAATGAAGTTTGAAAGGTAGTCACAAATGCTTATCAAATCATTATCAGTTTGGGAGAAAATTGCCTTCCCCCAAAGTGAAGCTGTTTATGTAATGACAAGGGAGTCTGAAATTGGCAAGTGGCCTCTTATTTTCCTGCCATCCAACAATCTGCACTTCCAAAGGGGTCTGGAGCTTCCCATTCCAAATAATAATAAATAATAAAAAAACTGCAGCTTTAACGTTCAACTTGGCAGTCAAAATGTGACAATTGGGAAAAAAAATCCGACCTACCCCTAATTCCGTACTAGTTTGAAAAATCATTGTCGCTGCGCTATACATGGGTGCATGTGCCTATAAATAACCACAAGTATGGACAATGTTTTTGTGTTGATATCGGTAATCTCACAAACTTTGGTCCAGTTCGCACGCTCCGACAACAGACGAGTGAAAAATCTGTTTGAATTTGACACTTGTTTGGGGGGTTGACAAGCGTGTTAAGAAATGCAGCTTTGATTTTGAAACAGCCGCTTTGGAGCAAGTCGTGTAATGGTAAAAAGAAGACTTGTTCGGGACAGAAAAATTGTTGTAGATTGTTTTAGCCATAATTTGTGTATTTTAAATACTAAACTCTCTCATCAGATTGACCTTAATACTATGTCGGAATTAGGGTACCCCTGGCAAAATGACGAAAAAAACTGCTGTACGTTTCGCGAACTATTACGCTTAGGTGCAAGGCGCTGCACTGAAGTGAAATACACAGCTGTGTAGCTTTGATTGTTGTTATCTTTATCTGTAAATATTATAGCTCATGTTTCGTGGGTTTTTGGTGAGACAAAATTAAACTATTACAAAAGGTAGGGGCTTTTGCATGGAACATAGGTCGGAATTAGGACCCCTCCCGTTACTTATTATGGCCTTTTATTTCCCTAAGTGCCAATTATCATAATGTTTGGTCCAAGAATAGATGCAGTTACTGTTAGTAATTTGGGGTGTATAATTGGTTCATACATATTTCTGGAACAGTGTAAGACAAAATATTCCTGGCCACTTTTTCCGCAATGTGTGGATTCAGACGAGTAGAGTTTCCGTTGTAAATGTGGAAAAGTGTAGGGTGGAATATTCATTCAATTTTGGCTTTTTTATATGTTGAGTGCTAAAAGTATAAAGGTAACAAATTGTTGAATGCCATACAAGTTACCCTCTGTGTATATGTGGAGGATTTGCTAAAAGCTTATAACTGTACATTTACTAGTTGATATGAGCATAACGGTATGATCTGAGGTAATGGCTCATGTGACTTCCTCGTTACGAAGTCCGATTTGCTTTACAACTGTTACAGCAACTGCTCTAAGGTCTAATTGCCTTATTTGGTGCTTCCACACTAAAAAATACTGCTGAAAGTTGTTATTTATAAAACAAATCATTATGTGAAAACTTTCAACAACTTACCTCACTGAGATCAAGATAATTAATCTAGAAGCCCAAAAGTTCCTGTGCCTACGAGTAGCCATCTTTGTCTTTTACATTCGGGTATGTGTTCTGCGTCACCGCTTTACCACTTATATCCATCCGCAACAGACCCTCGCTTGCTCAGGTAATAAGTAGTTCCCACAATATCTCATAAATCCACTAAGTTAAACCCTGAACACTTCAAGTGAAGGCCTCATAAGATAAGTTTTAAGTCCCTTCTTTATAAATTAGTCCATGTTTAAGGCTAAACTCTTCCAAAAACAATGCTGAGCAAGGCTACAAGTAGTAAAATGTTGACATTGTTTACCTTCAGGTATTGCGTCCTTTGTGCTGCGTCAGTGTTGACCTTTGGCATGCTTGAATGCACACCTTTGTGCTGAACCAGTCAGGCACGGACTACATGTAACTTTCATTTTCGCTAAAGATTGACAGTCAGGGCCATAGATAGAGGTGGAAATTCCCTGAAGTTAGCTTTTCTAGCCTCTGAGTGTTAATGTTAGTTTCTTCAGTGTTGATTCAATATTGTTGTACCTTTTGATAGCTTTGAAGTATCAGCATTCTTGCATGGTTGGTACCAGAAATTGATCAGCCTGAATTAATAATGATAGACTTTATATAATATGCAATTTACAATTTTACCGCATCTTGCCTTACTTACATTTTTCTATAATTATATATATATATTACACGTATATACCCCAAGACAGGAGGACCTGGCTGCATTCCTGTTGCAAAGTCTGCCTTGTCCCCCCCGACGACCGGTGTCGGTCATGGGACTAGGTAGGTAGGTATACCCCAAGGAGGTTATGTTTTCTAATGTCTGTATGTATGTTGTTTGCATATGATGAGAAAAATGTATAATTCGTCAGTGGGTACAGTTATATATAAAATATACATCATTTGGCGAAGGTTTGAAGTCGTGGAACTCAGATTTTCAGCAAATGACATGGAAGGAATGACTATACCTAGTGTTACATGTACATGTACATTATAAACTATATAACGTTAGTATATTACACTTTTGTCAGTGTTATTGAGAGAGACGCTGGTCTCGCAGGGCCTGCATTAGTGTCCGCTATGAGAGATAGGACATACTAGAGTTACTGTAACTTTATCAAGTGTACCTCACCGGATTAAAAGAATCCCGAGGCATGATGATGATAAATTATATGCAACGCATTACTGGTAATCAGATATGTACTGTGTTGATGATTATGATATCTAAGCTCCAGGTGCAATTTCAATTCCAAGTTCATTTAAACTATAAACACTGAACAACCACATTAACGCTTTCTGGATGATGTTTGAAAGGGTATGAAAAACAGTTACTCTAAACTAGCCTGCTAATATCTCTTTTGAGATATCACACTACATGTCATCACCCTTAAGCAAAAGGTCGTACTAAAGATCATGGTTTATGAGTTTAATTCCTCTAGATATACATTTCCATCTGACAGCTATAATCTTCCAGCAGAATTCATGGATACATAATGATATTACATGACATGACATAAAAGTTTCCTATATCACATAATGTAATGACATAGAAGGCATAGCATACAATATTGAACATATTGCAAACAAAATCAATAAACAAATCAGCATGTGTAAATATTTTGTGTCTTAACTTTGCATGTGTTTATCAGTTAGCTGTTGTTCAAACATCTTGGGTGCTATAAGACACAGTGTAACTCATCTTCCATAATTATGTTAAGTTTATTTTTACGTTTGGAGACTTTTTGTGTTCAATTTGTTTGATTTGATTTGATTTATTGAAATTGTAACAATACAATACACGTGAGACACAAACAGCTGAGTTTAGTGAGGAACTTGTCGTGTAAAGTGTCTTTCCCAAAGGGACTTGAACCTGGGGCCTCTTGGTTCTGAGTGGAGCATGCACTCTGTCATTACTACACATGACCCAACATCTTTGTTTTGTCCATTTTGAAAGTTTTTTATGTAACAGTTGCTTATCTGGTTCAGAATCTGTATCCATGTTGGTTTCATACCAGACATAGTTTTTGGTAGGTGCACAAAAAGTCATGTTGTTGATGTATATAGCCTTTCATTCATCATCAGCTGTGTCCTTGTCGTCATCCTTTGGCGAAATGCCCTTATCCACATAGTCCTTCAGGGCCTCCGTATAGACCTCCACTGCTTTATGAATCGCCACCTGTAGAAAGAGATGAAAATACTTAAAATAAACTCATCAGGGTCGTTCATTTGGCTGGCCACACTCATTGAATTTTATTTAGTATGACACAAATTTCAGGCTGAACTTATTGTATTAACTATATAACAGTTATAAGCAAAGGCCAATTGAAAATGAATTCCTAACCAGCACAATGTTTTCGATATCAAAATATGTTGCATCCTACTGAACAACTCCAACAACCAAGATACATGCAAATATTTTATGTCTCTCAACTTTGCATGTGTTTATCAGTTAGCTGTTGTTCAAACATCTTGGGTGCTATAAGTCACAGTGTAACTCATCTTCCATAATTATGTTAAGTTTAACTTTTGGAGACTCTTTGTGTTCGATTTGTTTGTATTACACATGGTGCATTTTCACTAGTGATTAAAGTTTGCTCTGGATTAATTTTTCTTTGACAAACCAAGCAGTAACATTTCCAGAAAACTTACCTCAGGTGGGTGTATAGCTTGCCATTGGTTCCTGTTGCCAAGCCACATTTCTGGTTCTGGTTTTGGTTCTGCTTTGCTGGTCTTGCACAGGTCATTGAACTTAGCTTTGGCTTTTCTGCTCACTTTTAGTTGGTTGACAAAGAAGGACTGATTAGCCATTTCCTTGGTGGGGTACAGCAGACTAAATGGTACAAAAGGTAGCAATGGTGGCACCATAAACCGATGTTCAGGATTTTCAAATGCCTTTTGAAGTGCCTCCTCAAACAGGAGATAGCCCTCATCCCGCTGTTGTTTTGCAAGTGCAGATGGCTCAGTCTGGCCTCCAGAAGTACCTGTAACATATCAAGCAGAATTTGAGGATTACAGAGCAATACCCTATGTAAAAAAAGTTTCTTTCATTTGTAACGCCTTAAAGTTGTTTTGTAATAAACTGTACTCAGAGTGTGCTCAACTGTAATTGCATGAACTTTATTAATCCTGGATACGTATTACATTTGTATTTATAAGTTTCTAGTCTTTTTGTTAAGTGGCCCAAACCATGTAACGTACCATCTTATTTACATAATCAGGCCACACCAATTTAATTTGTTGCTGCTCGGATCGCCCTGTCCATTTTTTCTGATTTGCCCAAAAAAAAAATCAAGTTCTAAATTAACTGCAAAATGCTCAGTGAAATACATATTTTGGCCCCAACGGTTGAAAAAAGTTCTTTTCTTCGTAACAATGCAATTTTGTTTCATTAAAAGTTCACTATCTATTGTTTTAATTATAAACTCGAGAAACGCGCCTTTCAATGGGAAATGTGCCATAATTTTGTGTCCCTGAGGAAGAGAAGTGAGGAGTTACTGAAACATAAGCCACCAGGAAAAAACTGTCATGTCCGACAGTGCATGGTTGTGAAAAGCTATTTTCCCTCTCTGATTTTCTTCTTACCAGTGCTCAGCTTCTCCAATTTCTTCCCCAGATCATCAATTTCTCCGCCATTATCATTGTTTTTCTTGACTGAACAGGCTGTGGCCCCCTCCGTCTCCTTCAGCTGGTCCCCATGCAGCTTGGTCTGATCCTCCTCTTTTTGAAATTTCTCCAACTCCTGCCGTAGAGCAGCTATGGTCTTGTCCTTATCTTCTATGGTCTTGTCCTTATCTTCTATGGTCTGCTCGAGCTGCTGTATCACTTGCTTGGCCTGGAGATCTGGAGAAATGTGTAGCATATTTTATTCACCAAAATCCCCGTAATTTTTAGCTTTCTTATGGTGAGGTCACATTTTCGGAGCCCCGTCGGGTTGTTTTATGGAACGAAAGTATGATTTAAATACACCAAAACACACACAAAAAAGGTTTAAAAACTAATCATGAACACTACCTTTGTTTGTTATTGATATGAATTGTTTATTTTTCGCTCACGCTAACGGTCTGGTCGAGCCCGTTTGGAAATGTGACCGCGCTATGCAGGGTATTTTGACACAGCTATATTATGTCCAGCTAAGATGTGTTTACGTTACCTCCAAAGGCAGCTCTATGAAGTGTACCCTTATGTTTCATTGAATCTTTCCTGCCTTTGCTTTCTCAAGACGTTTACAAGATTATGCTGACCAGTAACCCAAAGCCACCCAAATATCTCTGCACAAACAAAGACAAAACACGAATTGTGTGACATAAACGTGCATGATACAAGGATCGGCGAAAATAATGTTTTATTTATCCACAGCCCCTCACTGCTGGTGAAATGATGCCCGAAGAACACCACACATGCAACATAAAGAGTCCGAAGTACACACAGACTGTATTTGTTAGTAAATACACGTATCGTCAATGGTGTTTCATGTAAGTTAAATAACCTCGTTAATAAACTTGTGGAGACAACACATGGTGTCACCAGAAGGATGAACTGGACTGAACTAAACCTCAGTAAAGATGCGTGATTATGTCAATTTTGTAGTCTGACGAAATTTTCCCCACCGGTAGGACAAAAACAATGTCGGGCAGGGAAAAGATAAACGGGTAGAAGTAGCAGAAACCCAAAGGACCTTACTTTACAATGGTTGAAAAACTTTCGGACAGTGAGAACAAGTCACGAACTTACCCTTGCTTTCCTGGCCGGTTCTTTCTTGATTTGTGGCACCCTTGGACTTCGTTTCTCTGTGCACGTAATCGAGGAAATGTTTTTCACAGTCTAAAGCGGGACACTTACATTGCTTTCTTCGTTCTTCTAAACATTTCTCCATAATGCTAAGGAACACGGTCTTCTTCACTCGGTCTTTTGGGAAGCACCCCGCAAAAAATGCAACTTCGTCTTCCGGGAGCGGGCCTTGCTCCTCTTCTTCCTCATCACTACTAGATTCGCTGGATGATTCATAATCCTTTGAAAACAAAATTCCAGTTTCATTGGCGAAGCAATGCCCTTCGCCATTTTGTATCATTTCCAGAGCCGCTTTCCATTCTTCTGACCTAATGGAGGTTAGGTACAACGTCAGACACGCTGGTGCGTCCTTAGGAAACCCAGACATGCCTAGCCTCCACTCGTCGACCCATGTACAGGTAAACTGTCGTGCCCATGAAGGTGTAGCCATGTTTAAGCAGAGGTGTTATGTTCAACTCTTAACTGATATGTCCGGCGGACTACTACCTGTACACGCACACGCACCGTGGGTAGGCCCATTACACAATGATTGGTGCCTCAGCTGAGGTTGCTAAGTGACCTTCTGTGACGTTTTTTAAAAGGTGTTCCGGGACTAATCGTTACATATGGTAGGTGGCAGGGGCATCAACTGAACAACTCTGTTTAAATATGTGATCACGAGTAAGTTCTATCTTAAAAATGAAGTTTCCCTTGGAAGAGGGTATTAGTTAGCACAATATGGCTGGGGCACAAAATCATGATGTTGATCTCGGCCTTGCTTTAGATCACAATCGCGAGTATAGAATTAAGAAGAGATGTGTGAAAGGCTGTCACAACTTCCACTCTCTTTTGAGCGCTCAGTCCAGGGGTTTAGTTGTGGCTGCAGTCACCAAACTACCAGCAGACGGCCTTCCCGAAGACGGCCTTCCCGAAGACGGCCTTCCCAAGGGAGTCTACACCGTTCTGGTGACGTGTCGCCAAGATGTACAAAGAAATCCAGACTCAAGAATTCATCAAGAAATTGCACCATATTCCGGAGATGCATGGCAAATGGCCCGCTGTATGGTGCCCATCAAGTGCTGTGGCGGTGAAGCGCTTATTCGGAGTCCGACGTGTAAAAGACTCGGGATACTGTTCAAGTTTGCACCAAACTTGAAAACTGTATTCGATCCGGGGTTATGGTCAGACGACGATCTTGCGCGCTGCTGTCGGGATGCTTATGCAGAAGGGCAAAGGGAAAGGAGGTATATACGGAGAGGTGCATCGACCTACTGGGAAGGCAAATTCGCAGAAGGCAACAGGGAATACTGGATGGGAGGATACGTATGGAATAGGGAGATGAAGACATTCTACTTTATCCATCCAGAAAATCGTAGATGGCCGAATATTCGCTAACATAATACACGTAGACTTGGCAGAACCTTATAGCAGATTTAAATGTGGATTGAACAAACGTGTGCTTTAGAAGATATCAAGGGAAGCGATGGAGTACAGTTTTCCTGCTGATGTATCAAACCCCAATATACAAACTGTCACATGTCATTTCTTGGAGATTATACTGAAGTGCTGTAGGTGCCAGGCTTAGAATAGAAGACTGCTGGTCGAAGTTGAGATAGACCGTGAGAATGATGTGCTCAGATGTACAAAGATTAGGTGTGATTGTTTGTTCGTTGTAATATTGCTAGCTACTGCTGTACTGTGTGCCTGTGAAGCTAGTGTGTTACACCGAAGGGTTGTTACCGGTATACCGGCTATACAGAAAAAGAGTGGTGACTAAAGCTCAAGTAAGACAATGTGTGTACTTACAAGAGGTTTAACGGATGTATTTTGCTTGATGGTTTGAAATTTTCAATAAAAAATTTTGGACTAATGTCTAGACTAACGTCTACACTTTACTTTTAATATCACGCAGACTTACCCAATTGTAACATATGAAGGATTCTAGATAAAGTAATGAAACACATATGTCCAAAAGGGTATCATCTGAAGTCACTCAATGACTGTAGCAAACTATACACTACAAAGTTACAAAGTCTTTCTGAAAAAAAGTTATAAATATTGTTATCCTTCTAATTCAGAACTTAATAATTGGAAAATCCTGTAGAAATCTTTCGCTTAATAACAGCACTTTCTGTTTGAAACGGCCATATGTGATATGCATTAGCAGTCTAAGGACACCACTTGGACATGTTAGATCAGTGATATGATTCAGCTTAGTTGTCTGTAAGCACTAGCTGCTCAAACTTACAGAAAAAAAAAACAGTTAAAGTGCCCAACCCCTTGTTGTGTGGGGTTAATTCTATGCAGTGGTTACAAAGTTTAGCCCAGGCCTGCCCAAGCATGAAGAAAAAAACATGTAAGTCGTACGATAGAAGAAGAATTTGCGTCGTCTGACTCGTCATATAATTGGTATAATGTCACGTTTCTCCCAATTCTAACATAGCTCACTCTCAGGTACTGTATGTGTTTTGTGTCACCGTTTTACCTCTCATATTCATCCGCGACAAAAACATAAGCACTTGAGGTAATAAGTAGTTCCTACAGATAGATAAATTATCGGCCTGATCCGCATTTACTTGGTATCAGGAAGATCAGCTGAATTTTTTCTCCTGAAATATACATCAATATCAGTCCGAGAAGGGTAGGATATTCAAGTTGTCCGTCCAAAAGACAGGGCAAAACCAAGGTCATCTTCCTCACACGGAGACCCGTTTGGTGTTCTATTACAGCCTTTGGTGTTTCTTTTGTGTCCACACTTTTTCTTTTCAAGTCAAGCATGGATTGCCTTTCACACTCGCAAAGACCAACAATGACATGCAGAGTAAATTTATACCGTATAAATTTACTCTGCATGCTGAGCAGCTATATTATTCTGCCCATTATTTGTTGAAAGGTCCACTTGTGTTTAGTTTGTGTGCTTCGATAGTTCATTAGTTCATTCATTTGTGTGCTTCAATAGGTTCATTCTACTAATCTACCTCCGTAGGAAGGCCCGGTGGAGGCTAGATTTGCACTGGGGACGTTAACCATTGCTCAGTTTCTTGACGACGCCCCTTAAAGGCACCCTCTAACGACCCATATAATGATTACATACCACTGTATACAAGTAGTGTGCAAGTGGACGGAAAGTGCCTCCTGTTTGGGGTGAACTTGTGTCATTAGACAGGTCCCGATGTAAACTGTAAATTTTTGTACACTATCTTTTTTATCTTAGCAATTCTGTCAAGTACTAGTATTCAATAGACGATGTGTCGTGACACCTATAGATGGTAGTCATTTCCAAATTTTGATGGTATCTAACAAACTTTAGGCTTATTGTAGTAACATAGAATATATGAAAATATCTTGGCAACGTAGCTATAATTCGATGTGCTAGGTAACAAGTGCAAACCGGACACCAACAAAAGAAACGTACCCTTTTCAGGTGTACGTAGTTTCTGCTTTCCTCTTACACTACTCGATGGCACCATCTAGCGACTACATAATGATGTGCCGTCTTTTAAGCATTTTTCAATTTCATGTAAAACACCATTTTGTTTCTTTATTCACATTCTTCATAACAGCACTTAATTCTTTATTTAACTCCTTCATTGCAAAATGGAGGGGGGACAAAACAGGAGATTGCTCACCTCTCCTAGTTTTTACCAAGGAGGTTTAAAAAGGACTTTTGAAAGCAACACACATATACGGATAAAAAGATCATTACACTTAAGAAATAAACCGTATCAGCACAGCACTGTTTGTCTACTAATGACAGGGACAGGAGAAGACTGTACACTGTAGTACGTAGTGTTGGTTTACATGTATCTCCTTGGTTTCGAAAGCAAAGGAGGTAGCTAGCTCTATAAAGCCGTGTCCACCAACGAACCGCCATTGACGTAATGACGAGCGCGGGTTGAGCGGCCAGCGGGTCGAACAGTGACGGCCTGCAGTGATGACGTGTGGCCCTTCCCGGTATACCATGGGATGCTCGGCGTCGGTCAAGTTGCGGACCTGAAGAGAAAGTCTCTCCCCAAACCCGAGGGGAACGCCGCTCAATTCGTGTCATAGTATCAAACCTCGAAGGTTACAAAAGTGTGATCGTACACCCTACCAAAATCCTTCCCAAACATCCACGCTACTTCTTTCCACTTTTCAGGAACAAAAACGGTCCTACGAGAACTTCCGTGCCTTTTCAGAAGACTGACTGATGTGACGCGGACATTCCTACACGTTATTACGCAGGTCCCTTTTTTTATACCAATATTTCATGACTAGACAGGGTGACAGTTATATCAACTTATTTTATGCCGCCACCAACCCAGAGGACGAATACAGGACAAGACAATACTCATGATTTCCTTGAGTTAAGTGAGGAAAGTCGTGTAAAGTGCCTTTCCCAAGGGCACAAGATCGGTGGCATGTCAGGACTCCAACCCGGGACTTCTTGGTTCCGAGTCGAGCACGCTGCCGATTCTTCACACGATCCCACTACCGTTGTTTGTGTAAAACTTCTCAAAGCAATATGTAATGATACAACCTGAAAGCTTTAAACAACCCCTGCAATTAAATGTGCAAAGATTGAGTGTAACAAGTCGTTCGGTGGGATATAGCTAGCTGCCGCCGTGCCGCGTGCCTGCGAAGCTGGTGTGTTACGCCGAAGGGCGGTTATACCGGCTATATCGATACAGATACAGGTACAGAATTTGTCAGCAAAAAATAAACGCTTCGTTTTCAACACCCGTATATATCCATGGACGATGTAACTGCCTGCAACATAGACCAATTACTACATGTTTTTTGTTGTTGGTTTAAAGGCAGATGGTATCAAACAGCGGTACTAAAGGTACAAAGAGTGATTTCCTTTCATCACATACTAAAGGCGTTCCATCGCAGGGCTATGAAAGCAAGAAAACAAAATTTGATTACATGGGAAGATTTGCTTGAAGTCAATACTTTTGAATTGCATGTTGATTCCTCGAAAAGGTCGAAAATGGCAACACTACACCATATGTACACAACCATACCAATGTTCACTGTCAGTAATTTTGTTGTGTACCCATTCCTATCTCATTCAATTGCTCTTCAAATATGTTGGTTGAGACTGTGGTTGACTCCTATAACAATTCATAAACACATAGAATAATTTACACTTATTCCGCGAAATATATATTATATAACATATGAATTAGTCATGATTCTCAACTAATAAGTCTAGAGTAGAGGTAGAAGATATTCAATTCATAAACGCTTAAAAACCAACCCGCAACTCTTTCACCATTACGTGTTGGTCCTTTATACGATCATCCCACAGACAGCATTTAAAAATTGTTTCAGGGTACATTTAGAATACGTTTCTGTCTTGTGTCTGGTTATCTTTTCCCCACTGAATTCAGCTAACTGCTTCAAGCAAAAACTAAATATTTCTGTTTGATGTGCAATGAATTCTAATTGTAGGGACTGCGCAACTCTTGGATCAGCTGACGCCCGCTGTCCTTGCCCCTTCAGTTAAATAGTTTCATCACTTGTCCGACTATGAGCACAACGAAGAACCATCCGCGTCAGATGGCGCACAGTGGAGACAAGAAGGCCTGTCGGCCTTTGCCGTCACTTCCATTCCAAGTCTCTAGTACAGGTGAGATTTACTATATCATACATTTCAAAATACTAAAAATCTAGTTTTGTTGCAGCATTATATCATGAATTTCTCCATTGTAACCACAAGTCATGGGTTAAACCTCACGTTTAGTTTATGCCAAACCCCTTTAACCCAGGGATAACAAAAAAGGAAGGAAAACTAGATTGGAGAAACAAAAGTGTTTTAACTATTTCATTTGATTTTTCAACGGTATGGAGACAAGGGAAAGGAGACAGAAAAAAGAAATAACCCCAGGCCCCATACATGTAGTACCATCATACACCTTATTTTGGCTGACTTGTACATATATATATTACAGCTTTTCCAACTCGATCGGTGGTCTTATATATATAGTAACCTTCATCCCAGCTAAACAAGACAGCATTGTGCTCTGTCTTTTCTTTGATAACACAGAAATGTTGGAACTTTTGCATATTTATCTGTTCTACTTCGTGTAAATTGTATTGTCTTCTGCCACCAATTAAGGATGTTAACATTATTTCTTGTTTTGTACTTTGCAGTTAGATTTCTTTATTTATGTGTGTATAACGTCTGTATTTGTGGGTCATCTACTACCAGTTTCGACTGCCTTGATGACCCGTGTACTGATGTGTTGCCAGTCCCCAATGAAGTAAAATGAATGACTTTATTTCAGGTTATCCCCATAGTACAAACATAAAACCACATAAACACTAAACATACACCAATCTATACAGTGTATAAAATACGTATTTCTGAACTGACAGTCAGACCTCAATAGACAGCATATTATACTATTGTTGGTGGCGTAAAGTCTATTAATGAAGGAATCACAGTTTCCCGCGTCTAGCATCGAAAGTATCGGTCGAGAGGTGTACAAACATTGAACTAGCACTACAACCTCTTGGCAACTTAAGGAGAATACGAAAGCAATTATTGTATCCAACACGACACTTAGCTAGTACACTCGCATGAACAGAGTCCCATAACTGGACTCCAAACAACTGAGAACAGTAGGTCATGAACAAAAGTAAAGTAAAAGTAACTTTTCGCAGGTGCATCAAGCAATGAGGACGATGACGATCCTGGCAACCACATGTACAATTACATAGACAAAGCTGAGATCCAACGGCAGTTGTCTCTACGGCAGAGCATCATTAATGATGGGCAACCATCCGGTGAAGGGACGGACAGACGCCAAGTAACTGTGGGAAGGAAAGTCGTTGGGTTGGTGCACAACCAAACGTATGGACCTGGACCTAGTGATTCACCACAGGAAGATACCAGAGGTATGTGTATGTGTCGTGTCCTGAATTCTCAAGTAGCTATAACAGTCATGAAAACTTTGATTTTAGTAAAAATTATAAAAATAGTAGCTTTGTGTAAAAACTAATATCTAAGGAAGTAAACTGAATACATTTTAGTTCATTCTGATAGTGATGATGACGATGAGTTCATTCTATGCTATATGCGGTGCACAGTTCACTCATCTATATACATTTGGTACTATGATTCTGAATATTTAGATGATGTCGATGTTCATACAATGTGTTTACGTAATGGATGGGTATATCTATGGAATGGAATGTACATGTATGTATATATACAATGTATAGATTTGTATCTGACCCGTACATTACGATCACCCTCATCCTGTTTATAACATGTGCTTTATATATATATATATATATTTATATATACATATAATAATATATGTGAGCACCTCCCTTGCTTTGATTTGTGGAAAATTCCATATTTTTCTTGTCCATAAGACAAGGTTTAGATTTACGACAGACATGTTTACTTCTCTTATGAGAATTTTTCACTTTGCTATTGCTTAGAGTAATACAAACAAATGATGGCTTTATATACATGTAAGAACCCAGCGACTGTACATAGCTTAAATTAACACGATTGTTTGATTTGTCCTTCAAAAGTCTTTAAGAATGCATGAAGTAAGGTTATACGAGGACAAGGCTCGAAATGATGAATTCCTATTGAATATTTTCCCTAGCTGTAACCGTCCTTGAAACACATGATTATCATCAAATTTAGGAGTAGCCTGCAGATGGGGGACAGTCTATCGTGTTTGGGTCGGGTTCTCGTCGGGGCTGCAGGAGCTCTTCCTCGCCCGACTCAGCTAGGCTCCCGGTAGGGTTTGCATGACGGGAATTAAATGATTCTTTATTGACACAACAAAAAGTACGGGGACTTTTGTATGGTCTTCTACAACTTAAGGGCTAACAATACAGGTATGGATAACTTCATCCTACATACAGAATATATGTATGTGGCAAATTACATACAGAATTTATATATATCAGTGGTAACAATAAAGGTTTAACTATTCTCTAACACGTAGTCTCTAAGATTGAAACAGTCTTTAATGTATTTTCCTATTTGAGTACTGTATTGTTTATCTCCCCTGAGAATGTAATTGAATTCATCTATAGGATTTAACCATGTAGGTAGTTTTTTTCTACCTCCATGGTTGAACAAGCGGAAAAGTGAACAGCAATAGGGGCTTATCATTGTAGAATGTACAATCCATTGCAAAATGTGGTGCTCATTTTCAATCATGTTAAATAAAGCCCACCACAATGAACTCCTGGCGTGCAAAACTTCAGGCGTAACGCTCCTACCGGGCGGTCTGTTGAACTGGGTGGGAGAAAACTACTAGAGCCCCGAAGACAGCCTGTCCCAACCATGAGTTGATAGAATGGATACCATAATCTTCAAGCAGATCCCTTTCGGTGGCAAAAAGACAGTGTCGAATTGGTCAGGAAGTATCCATTAGCCAGAGAAGGTCGCCGGCCACCGACGGGTTGGTGGGGGTAGCGACAAAAAATGGTCACTATATATAAAAAGCTAACGATCATTCCCCCAGGCAGGCAACGATTATTCCCCCACAACCTCTGCTTGGAAGTTGGAGAGGATACTAATTAGGGGTAGAGATAGTTCCAACCACACTCTATCAAACGCCACAAAATCCCTTAATAGATGTTTAGTTAATGCTTCTTTAAAAACAATGCACAAACGCTACCGTAAACAAGTTCATGGTCTCGGTAATGAATGTACTATACAACTTAAAGGTTAAGCTGACATATTCAGAATTGATAAGAGTATCCAGGGTGTCGGAAAACTGCACGAGGTCAGAGGTCATCAGATGGCGCGAGTCTTGATACTGTCGATATATCGCGTCAACTTCGCTAAACTTTCTGTTTATACCTAACATTTGGGGCATTTTTATAAGTATTAGAAATACCAAGAAATTAGTGGAATGGCATCAGCAAAGGACTGCGATCTCTAAGCCTTTTCAGTGAACGTTAACATTTCTTTTCTGGCTGTGTTGATGCAAGCTAGTGGGGAGGGCACATTCGTATGATGAAGGTATCAGTTTATCATTTTTCCATAAGTCATTTATAAGGCTGGAATATTAACATGTAGTCAAGGATATGTTATATAGTATTCTTAAGTCCCGATAAATATACATTTTATGATTTTAGTGTATACAAGATTTTAGTTAATTATCAGGGCTATATATATCTGTTATGCAGCCTGCTCCATGAACTATCGCAGAGTGGAACCCGCTGTCACCAAGTTTAGTTGAGGCATTATCATTAGACTAAGCTTTAAACAATGTCTAGAGTTAGATGTTCCAAGGTTAGGTGTAACAAGTCGTTTGGGATATAAATGTACTCAGTAGCCAGTTGCCGCCGCGCCGCGTGCCTGCGAAGCTGGTGTGTTCCGCCGAAGGGGGGTTATAACGGCTATACAGATACAGATACAGAAAGAAAGCCACTAGCTGTGTCACCATGTCCTCTTTCAATCACATCCATTGTTTTGACTGCAACTTAGTTTTATCCACAATTTAATTAAGAAAAAAAAAAGATTAAGACACATCTGTATCTGTATCTGTATCTGTATAGCCGGTATAACCGCCTTTCGGCGTAACACACCAGCTTCGCAGGCACGCGGCGCGGCGGCAGCTGGCTATATTACACCGATCGACTTGTTACACCTAACCCTTGAACTTCTAGCTCTAGACATTGTTTAAAGCTATCTATTGACAGTGCCCCTACTGTACTTGGTGACAGTGAGTTCCACTCTGCGATAGTTCTAGGAAAGAATGAATTCTTGAACACCTCAATCCTTGGTTGATAACTCTGGTACTTGAATGCGTGGCTATTTCTTGTTCTCTTCTGGGCTGGTATTAGGTACTTAGTAGTTGGGACATCCACCAGTTTATTAGTCATTTTGTACATCATGCATAGTCTAGACATCTTTCTTCTGTCTTCAAGTGAGGTCCACTGTAGGTTTCTTTTCATTTCCGTGACACTAGCACCTCTTACATAGTTGTTCATACAGAATCTTGCAGCTTGATTCTGTACCCTTTCCTACATCAACCAATGTTCCTTCTCTTCCAAGGCAAGAAAACCGAAGATGGGACAGACATGTCTCCTGACAGCTATGTCTACAACTACGTGGACAAAGATGACATCAAGCTACCTCCACAATCATCTAACACAGCCAGTTCAGACCACACGTTCCCCAAAACTACAGACAGTATTCCTGGAGTTGATGACAATGGGCTGTATGTACCTGGTGCCTTACGACAAGGTAAACGTGTGTTTACATTTATATAGTGGACTGGGGGGATTCGTTCCTCAAGCTAACCGACATCTTGCACACGCAGTCGTCCCTCAGTAAGACACCTGGAGCCGCGCAGTGACAGGCTGAATAAAAGTTCTTAACATGGGAACTATGCGGCTCCAGGTGTCTTACTGAGGGACGACTGCGTGTGCAAGATGTCGGTAGCTTGAGGAATGATGTGTTTACATTTATGTTTGACTTTTGACTTGCAATCATTCTAACAAAAACTCTAGAAGCATAATAAGTGAGTGAACAGAGCACTTAAGTTGCAAATGCATGGCATGCTAGCAATTGTGTATTTTGTTAGTAACCACTGTAAACCTCCTTTAGGCGTAATAAGCCACGTAACACACCAGTCTTATTATGTAAGTACAAGCTGCGTAAGACCATTGCCATTGAGACACATCACATATTGACTTGTAGTAAGCATCATCGGTCAGACACATGAAATTTCTCTGCAGACAATGATTATGATGACACAATATTGCACAAGTTGATACAAAATGTTTTTATTGGTTCTTCACAGATACCAGCGATAGTACAAACATCTCCAGACTTTTTACAACCTGCAAGATGGTGTTTCATCGGATCAGCCCGTTCATCATCTTGGCCGTTGCAGGGTTGGCCTTCTTAAGTACAGGAGCTGGTATCATCATGTATCTCACGGAAACACCGGAAATGTCAGCTCAAATCAACATGGTTAGTATTTTTTTATCAAAAGACAGTAAGACAGGGGTAAGTTGGTTACCTTATGTCAGGCTTGAGTTATGTCTTTATTTTTCATTTTGAAGTAAGACACTTTATTGGTATTCCTTAATTTATTAGTTATTTAATGTTATCATTATTTACCTATTAGTTCGTAGTAATATTTATGTTCAATTTCTAATTAGGGAGGCTCTACATGTACATGTGTATGTGAATGTTTGTTTATAGTGAAAATGAATAAAAAACATGGTTAGTTTTCTCTCTCTACTTAAATTAGTCAGTCAATCAGTTGTGATTTTGTTTTTCTGAGAAATATTACATCCAAGGTCGGCAGAGTGTGGCTGTTATGTGACTTCTTTCTCAGATGTTGTGAATCTTATCGTTAATGGAACTAAAGAAAATTTGTTTATTTGTTTATTTGAATTCACCACAAGATATACAAGTGGAAGGGAGGACAAAACAGGTGCATTGACACCTTTACAAGTTGTCCTCCCAAACATTGCGAATGGCTTGAGAAGTAGCTTAGATTGTACCTCTTTTTTTGATAGCCCTTTGGGATGGCTGCGACAGGCAATTGGACAACTGCTGTGCCAATGAATATCAACATGGCTGCAACTTTCCTACCAGTCAATATGACACAGCCAGCCTTTGTGTCTGCAACTAGACAGTTTCAGGAAACTGGCATGTTTCCACCATTGACTGGAATGGCAACAACGTCAGAATATATGCCACTATCTGCAGGTCAAGTAAGTAAAACCTAACTAAAGATGATTTTTGTTCTACACTACATGTACCACAGTTGTGTTTGTAATCAGAAGTAGCCCCTTAACATTTTCTTTTGTTGTCAGCATTTGATAGATACATGTACTTAGGCCACACCGACTTAATTTTATGGATGACATCCTCTGAAGACCCCCAAAAATTAAATGCTACTAAACCACAGGAATACAAAGCTTGTATTATGAATTTGCGGCAGAACATAGCGACATATACATGTACCACAAGCCGGCACATGTTGGCTTTTTGCGGAATTTATGAATCGACACTGTACATGTACTTATGTACTGAGGTCTTGAGTTGTGGAGCTTCGGTAGCCTGGGTGTCATCCTCCAGAGTTACCACCGGCTTCGTACTGTCACTATATAGCAAGCTACCATGGACTACATATACCGAGGCCTAGAGCCAGGCGAAAATCAATCAGGCAGGCACAGATGTCATCCATAAAATTAAGTTGGTGTGGCCTTAGTCTAGTAGAATTAACACATTTTTGCTTTATATCAGCAGACCTCCAGTCACGATATTGTACAAACAACAAATCTGTCAGAAGAGACAACCACTCAAGGGCTGCCACCTGTGACAACTATTCTGCAGCAAGTGGCAACTAAACCATCAAAGGGGACAAGCACACTGCCAGAATTGACAGCTAAACCACCAAACCTGACAACCACACTGCCCGAGGTGACAGCTAAGCCAGTAAAGGGGACAACCACGCTGCCACAGATGACAAGTGCCCCACCAAAGCTGACAGCCACACTGCCACAGATGACAACCAAACCACCAAAAGTGACAACCAGACTGCCAGAGGTGACAGCTAAAGCAGTAAAGCTGACAAGCACACTGCCACAAATGACAAGTGCCTCATCAAAGATGACAACCCCACTGACACAGGTCACAACCACACGACCCCAAGTGACAACCAAACCACCAAAAGTGACAACCAGACTGCCAGAAGTGACAGCTCAACCAGTAAAGGGAACAACCACACTGTCAAAAGTGACAGCTAAACCAGTAAAGGGGACAGCTACACTGCCACAGATGACGACCAAACCATCAAAGATGACAACCACACTGCAAGAGGTGACAGCTAAACCACCAAAGCTGACAACATTGCCAGAGATGACAGCTAAACCAGTAAAGGTGACAGCCACCCTGCCACAGATGACAAGTGCCTCAGCAAAGATGACAACCCCACTGACACAGATTACAACTACAATGCCACAAGTGACAACCAAACCACCAAAGGTGACAACCACTCTGCAGATGACAACTACTAGTACACCTCCAAAGCTGACACTGCCACAGGTTACAACCACTCTGCTAGAGATGACAACCAAACCACCAAAGGTGACAACCACACTGCCACAGGTGACAACCAAACCACCAAAGCTGACAACGAAACCACCAAAGCTGACAACCACTCTGCCACAGATGACAACTACACTGCAGTGTTCAAAGCTGACACCACCAGCAAATGGATCCATGATGACTGGCTCCAAATCCTACAGAAAGGTGGTTTACTTCAGGTGTAACCCAGGGTACAAGCTGGTCGGCTATTCTAGAGTCATCTGCCTGTCTGGGACTTGGAGTGGAAGGTCTCCAACTTGCATGAAAGGTTGGTATTAGGCCACGACGACTTAATTTTATGGATGACATCCTCTGATGAAGACCCCCAAGCTAGTGTGCGCGGGGGAATAAAAAAAATTCTGGCCCCAAATAAAAATACTACTAAATCACAGGAAGCTGGTATTGTGAATTTGCGGCAGTACATAGCGACGTATACAACAAGCTTGCCAGCACATGCTGGCTTTTAAGGGAATTTATGAATCGGCACTGTACGTATGTACTGAGTTCTTGAGCTGTGGAGCTTCGGTAGCCTGGATGCCCGGCTCCGTATTGTCACTAACCATGGACTACCCAGGCCTAGAGCCAGACCAGAGCCCCTGGCCTAATTCAGGCCAAAAAATGTTCTAGCTAGCCTAGATGTGAAACAAAGATATAGGTATCAATCTGTTCTGTATAGACCCGTAAATAATTTCATCAGGTTGGTAAACGAATAAAAAGCAAAGTTATTTGAGTAACAGTGCACTGTGAACCATGTAACATCTTTAGTGCACTATGCACCAAGTTATACTGGCTATACCGATACAGATACAGACCTTCTGTTTAGCAGAGTTCAAAACCATAGCTAGCCTAGTATTGAAACAAAGTTGTACACGTGTAGGTATCAAGCTATTCGTTATATTGAATGCATATTATGTATTATAATTCATTGTTTAAGATGCGTACAATGTAGATTTTGTACCTGTATGTTTCATACCTTAATTTTGTCCTTTATTTCAACTCTGTGTTTCAGTTGTAGAATGCCCGACACTGACAGGTCTCGTCAATGGCTATTCAAATCCGGTTGTCACCAGGTTTAACCAGAAAGGAGTCTTCTTCAATTGTAACCGTGGCTACACTCGTGTAGGTGCAAGAGTCCTCACATGTCAACCAGATGGTACATGGAGTAACAGTACCCCAACTTGCAAAGGTAAATACAATAATAATAATAATGGTTGCCAGTGTACTAACCAAATAGTTTCTTAGGTTTTCATATGTTAAGATGTTAAATGTATATTAATTGTATACAGCATATTCTTAACATCTACATGTACATTTGTAAGTGTCAGATCAATAATAAAATTATTGTTGTTAGTAGTACTTTTCTTTAGAAATGAAACATAATTAGGTTTTGCTGCCATCCTACTTATTTCATTTCGAACTACGCTCAGCCATTAGCAAAATTAGAGTTAGCGCCCATCCTCTGGAAATAGAGAGAGGCCGGTATAGAAGGCTACCTGTATGTGAAAGAATTTGTAAATATTGTAATGCAAAGGCTGTGGAAGACGAAATACACTTTATCTCAAACTGTTCCTTTCATAGCAACGCTCGAAATGAGTTAACTATTCAAACTTCTACAATTTTACTAAACTTACAGACCAAGAAAAAACTATTCTTCTTTTAACTTCCCAAAACCCACTGATTTTAGAAAAGGTGGGACATTACGTCTTCCATGGTCTAAAAAAGAGAAGTCAAACCCCTTAGACATAGTTTTAGACATAGCTATAGCTCTAGACAACTACCTTTTATCATGTAGATTTTACTAGTTATTTTATACTACGTTTCATTGTTCTTTTATGTTTGTAATCTGCAATTAGCCCCCTGGGCATGAATTTGCAATAACTTCTTATTCTTATTATATGGTGCACCCAAGAATTTTTTGTGCACACAATTTTTTTAGAATGGGTGCATCAGTGCACCTGTTCCCAGAAATGAATTTCGAGCCCTGCATTGTATGTCGAGCACTTAAAACAAAACTAAAAGCTAATGATGTAAAATTTAATGTTTTTGAAATGTCTGACAAGGATGGCATTTTGTTTCTCTGTGTAGCTGTACGATGTCCCAAGCTGACAGCTCCAGCAAACGGTACTATGACCGGCTCTAACGGCTTCTACAGTAAAAGGCTTCGCTTCAGGTGTAACCCGGGATACAAACGGGTCGGCCATTCTTTAGTCAGCTGTCAGGGTGACGGGACTTGGACTGGAAAGCCACCAACTTGCAAAGGTTGGTAATTACCTGAGTGCATGAAAAATGGAGGTATTGTTTTTGGTATCTGTGTGTATGTGTGTGCCCATGTGTGTGTCTGTGTGTTTCCACATGGCCCTCAATAGGTTAGGATGTCTAGTATACATGCATGTACTAGGTGTTTTTCATTACATGCTCCCGTTGACAGCTGACAGCTGGTGTTTTTTCCAATGCACAATAAAGAAAGACCTGTGAATGAGGAAGAATGAAAGAATGTGAAAGAATGCTGCAGGTATTTAAGCTATGCTGATAGGACTTGGAGTAAGAGGAAGAGAAAGCCCTTCAACATGCACAGTTGCTGCCTGATGTGGTTTGCACGGGGGGAACTAAGTCTAAGTAAGTTTGCTAGTCTTTAGTCTTTAAAACTTTACATGCAAAGAAAAGTAGGCTGAAGTGTAACCATTAAATATATGTCTTAAAAAGTAGACACTGTAATAATTGTAAAGAGTGAACTTTCACATTGAATTTTATACACAGTTGAATTTTACCTGGCGCTTTAAAACTTGGCTTAATTTTTGTTTCAGCTGTCCAATGCTTGGAACCTACACCTCCAATGAACGGTGGTAAGCAAGGCTCCCGTAACTTCCAGGGAGTGATGCGCTTTAGATGTAACCGTGGATACAATCTTGTAGGTGCTACAACCATCACTTGCCAGGCTGACGGTACATGGAGAGGCAGTGTCCCTACTTGTGAAGGTAGGTCACATGTACATAGTTTTATCTTTTGTGGTTTCAATCTATAGAAAGATTTTGTATCAACTACAGTTCATGCTAAAACAGATTCCTACTTTTTGAATTTTGAAATATCTGCTATAAGATGTTCAACTTGGTGTTAATTTTTGTTTCAGCTGTACAATGCTCAAAACCAACACCTCCAATGAACAGTCATATGGAAGGTTCCCATAACTTCCTGGGAGTGATGCGCTTCAGATGTAAACGCGGATACAATCTTGTAGGTGTTCCAACCATCACATGCCAGGCTGATGGTACATGGAGTGACAATTTCCCTTCATGTAAAGGTAGGTCACATGTACATGGTTTTAATTTTTATGGTTTCAATCTATGGAAAGATAATTGTGTATCAACTGATGTTCATTTTTTTTTGCTAAAAAAGATTCCTACCAGAGTACTTTTGATTTCTAAAAAAATCTTATCCACCATAAGATGTGTTAATTTTTGTTTCAGCTGTACAATGCTTAAAACCAACACCTCCAATGTACAGTCATATGGAAGGCTCCATTTTGTACAAGGGAGTGATGCGCTTCAGCTGTAAACGCGGATACAATCTTGTAGGTGCTTCAAGCATCACTTGCGAGGCTGATGGTACATGGAGTGACAGTGTGCCTACTTGTGAAGGTACTCTTAGTTTTTATGGTTTCAATCTATAGAAAGATCAATTGGTGTTCATGCTAAAACAGATTCCTACTTTTGAATTAAAAAAGAATCTTATCCGCCATAAAATGTTGCTTTAATTTTTGTTTCAGCTGTCCAATGCTTGGAACCAAAGCGTCCAATGAATGGTTTTAAGCAACACTCCAGAAACGCCCAGGGAGTGTTTATCTTCGGATGTGACCGCGGGTACAATCTTGTGGGTGCTACGTACATCACATGCCAGGCTGACGGTACATGGAGTGGCAGTGTCCCAACTTGTGAAGGTACTCTTCATGTACATGGCTTTAGTTTTTGTGGTTTCAATCTTTATATGGAAAGATTGTGTATCAACTACAGTTCATGCTAAAACAGATTCCTACTTTTTGAATTTTGAAATATCTGCTATAAAATGTTGGTGTTAATTTTTGTTTCAGCTGTACAATGCTCAAAACCAACGCCTCCAATGAATGGTCATATGGAAGGCTCCAGTAACTTCCAGGGTGTGATGCACTTTAGATGTGACCGCGGGTACAATCTTGTAGGTGCTACAACCATCACATGCCAGGCTGATGGTACATGGAGTGGCAGTGTGTCCGCTTGTGAAGGTACACTGAGTGTTCAAAAGAATATATGGCTTCAATTTGTATGGTTTCAATTAGAAAGATCATTGTACAATCATGACACATTCATTTGGTGTTCATGCTAAAAAAAGATTTCTACAGTTACTTTTGAATTCTAAAAAATCTTATCCACCATAAGATGTTGGTGTTAATTTTTGTTTCAGCTGTACAATGCCCTGAGCCGAGGCCTCCAATGAACGGTCATAAGGACGGCTCCCGTAACTACCAGGGAGTGATGCTCTTCAGATGTGACCGTGGGTACAATCTTGTAGGTGCTTCAAGCATCACTTGCGAGGCTGACGGTACATGGAGTGGCAGTGTGCCTACTTGTGAAGGTACTCTTAGTTTTTATGGTTTCAATCTATAGAAAGATCAATTGGTGTTCATGCTAAAACAGATTCCTACTTTTGAATTAAAAAAAAATCTTATCCGCCATAAAATGTTGCTTTAATTTTTGTTTCAGCTGTAAAATGCTCAAAACCAACACTGAAGGATGGTAATATGGCCATCGCTGGCTCCATTTTGTACCAGGGAGTGATGCACTTCAGCTGTAAACGCGGATACAATCTTGTAGGCGCTAGAAGCATCACTTGCCAGGCTGACGGTACATGGAGTGACAGTGTACATGTGCCTACATGTAAAGGTAATGATTTGAGGGTTTTTTTTTACGTAAAGCGATGCTTTATGCTCAGTAACCCAACATGGATATCAGACAGCAGGAACGTAAGGAAGCTCTAAAAGGGCATTTTTTGCAGCGATGGGACTTGTGTCCTCTCCGTCTGTGTGACATTTGGAGGTTGATCAGTGCTCAAGTCTAGTCTGATTCAAGGTCCAGTGTTACCTATTGTAATTATTCTGAAAAAATTTCACTTGAGTCCCTGTCACAGAGTCACATTCTTAACAAAAAAAAAGGTCTCCCGTGCTCTATGTAGAAGGTTTGTGCCCATGTCCATTTCTGTAGCCTTTGGGCGACACACAGTTGTGCAAGGCACTACACAGCAGGGGGCTGGTCCGCTGGTAGTGCTGTGTTTGACCTTCCTACACTCTTTCTCATATGTGCTGAGTGCTAAACAGAGAAAGAAGTGTGTACCATTTTTAAAGTCTTTGGTATGACCCGGCCGGGGTTTGAATTCACGACCTCCTGGTTACAAAGCGAGCGCTCTACCAATTGAGCTATTGCACCGGTTTGCTTCTGAAAAATAGAAACATTTGAATTCAGGGCAAAATGTTAAATCTCCATCATGTGAATCGCTTTAACACAAGTGATTATGTTTTCTGAGACTCTTAAATACATGTATTAAGTGTTAACGTTATGTTATTTCAATTTAATGTTTTAGCTGCAGGATGCAAGATAGGAAAGGCACCAGTCAACGGCCAGATGAAAGAAAGAAGAAAGCTAGGAAAGAAGTACTTAGAGTTCCGCTGTGACCATGGCTACAGGCTTGAAGGTGAAAAAACCATCTGGTGCCGTCCAGACGGTAAATGGAGCAAATATTTTCCCACCTGCAAAGGTCAGGTTCCTGTCAATATCTTTCATTCATTGAAAAATGCCTAGTACATGTAACGTTACATGTATATCAACACAATATATTATAACTACTTATTAGATATACATGTATTTGAATTATGCTTAACCTTCTATATTGATGTATTTTTTACTTGTTATTGACGATGTAAATTTTGATGTTGTATATGTGTTTTTGTATGGGGGAGGGCAACTTGTAAAGGTTAAAGGTGCATATGCACCTGTTTTGCCCTCCCTTTCACTCTGTGAAAAATCATAATAAACAAATATCTTTCTTGTATTCAAGTACAAGTACTTGTACCATGATTACAACAGTGTATCTTGAAGTTTGTTGTCTTGATTCACTTTTGTTTTTACTTTTTTTCAAGTTGTGTGATTGTTTCAAAGTTCAATACATGCTCAAATTCAATGTCGGCATGTTGTCTCAGGTTTTCAAAATCTAGTATTTTCCAAGAATTGTCATAGAGTGGAACTCACTGCCGCCAAGCATCATCACTAGAAAGCTTTGAACAACTTAAGTGCAGTTTGATGTGCAAAGATTGAGTGTAACAGGTCGTTTGGTGTGATATAGCCAGTTGCTGCCGTGCCACATTCCTGTAAGCTGATGTGTTATCATGCCAAAGGGCGGTTATACCGACTAATATACAGAATGATACAAAAACAGTTACCAGATTTACTGAAATTCAATAATTATAATCAAATGAATACTGATCTCAAGTCTTTGTTGTGACAGTTTCAGCTACATGCAGGTACGGCTACAAACTACTTGCCAAAACCTGCATCCGGCTTTCTCATTCCAAAAGGCCGTACAGTGACGCAGAGGGAGCCTGTAGGTCTGACGGAGCACAACTAGCCATGCCCAAGAGTAAGGAATTAGACCACGCTCTGAGAAACCCTGATAAGAACAGTTGGAAGGAATTCTGAGTTACTGGATCGGTCTAAAAAGGGAAAGCCCCTGGCAATGGGCAGATGGGACTCACTTAAAGGGCTACCAGGTATGTTGATACTCACTCACACTCACTCACTATCCTGGTTTAGATTATTCTGCTGCCAGTTTCCCTGTCCCAGGGGTGGGCAGCAGACGGCTGTTCTGGACACGAGCTGCGTAATGTTGTTAAAGAGAGTTTTTGGGGAAAGCAACTTATACATTTTATTTATTTATTTCAATACATCTTATAAACACCTGGGTAGCCTTTACAACAGTAAAATTGTTGATTTCCAAAAGGGCCCAGCGACACATAAACAATATAACATAACATAAAGTTAACACAACATAAAGCAATTGTATAAAAGTAAATGATACAATCATAGTGCCTCATCAGACAATGGAGTTTTAGTTGAGAACAGGTCCTATGAAGGAGGTTGATCTTAACCTCCTTGGACCTAGAAAGTACTGAGTCTCAAACAATTTACATATAAAGGCAATATTTTTCATGCCAGTCTACTAATTCTTTATCATAAAGATGAATGCAAAATTGCTTGTTGCTGCTACTGATTTCTTGCTGATTTGTCTCATGATATCACAGTTTCTATTAACTGTTAGTAGCTTCGTACAATCTTCATACAATGTACATGCACATTCTCCACAACCTACACACTGTACAAATTTGAATTTGTGACACATGTTGCCTATTTAACATCATGGAAAATACGTTAAAAAAGACAAGGAGATGAAAGATAAGTTGATCTGTTGGGATTAATCTAAGCAAA